ATCATACATTTTGTTCTCCTTGCCTAAGAATGTTTGGATAAAATCAGTCACCATGACAACACAACTGAAATTACAGATTCAACCCACCTCAATTATCTTGCTGGTGAATGGCTTTGTGATAATTTTAATAAGTTCGACTTTAGCGTCTTCGTTACTTTCCAAATTCATACTACGAACAATGACCCCTGACAGTTTATATAGGTAACCAGTAGTGATTTCCAGCGGCAATAGGCATATCACCGATAACCAGTTGAAGACATCATGCACGGTGGCACCGGCAAACGCACGTCTGAATTCATTTCGATCATGTGCTTGGAACATCGCAACTAGCGTGTTGGTGACCGATGTGCCAATGTTTGCGCCCATGACAATAGGAATGGCTTGCCTTACATAGAGAACTGCAACAAATAAAATAAATAAATTATTAGTATAATCAATAACTAATGGTAAATATCACTGTAAAGTTCTATTTACACGACACTCCCTGGCAATCAGGTTTTAATGCTTTTGTACAGGGCAAGTTCAGTGAATATTTACAGTACTGCGTTGGCAGTCATCAAAAAAATTCAATATTACAGATTGCTGAAGGCTAAAAAAAATGTTAAATGCATTAACTGAACAGCCTCTGTTAATTTCAAGCACTGAAATCATAAAGCAAGACTAAAGCATTTGAAATTTATTTTTAATTTGCATATTCACAATATTTCAGTAGATCAATGAATGTAGTTCAGAAATAAAGTGAAGACCCGAACCATGTGGTTGGGGGGGAAAAAAAAAAAAATCATGGAAATTCTATTCTTATATGTAATTATTGATATGTAGATTTTACCAGCAAATATTTAAAAAAAAAAAAAGACAACCCAAATATGATTAAAACTACATTTCCATTCATGTCTGTTAAGTATTACATAGACATGAACAAATAATTAAAATAATCCCAAGGGATTGGAGTTCAGAGGACACCCATTTTTGTCAAGGCAAAAAATCTGATAAAATTACCTATGGCTTATAGTAATATACGCAAAATTACTAATTTTCACTGGGTTTAAATTTCGCTGATTTACCATTTCAGGCATATTCAGTGGGTTTTAAATTCACGGTTTTATCATTTAGATAATGTGTTCTATGCATAATTTTACATTCACTGGGTTTTAATTTAGTGCATTTTCCACAGTCAGCCAAATAAGCTAAATTAAAAACCCTTTTACAGTGGCGTAGAGAAAAACTGCATTTTCCAAAGTGCACAAATCAAGCTCCTCGGGCGACATGCAATTGCCTTCAATGCCTCTCTAAGTTCAAGCCCCACGTCTCTGCTTAGCATATGTACGTCTCTGCTTAGCATATGTACGTACAGTTACATTACACAGATACCGACATCACAAACAACTTCCCTAATTCTACACAATTCTGTGCAAGCATTGATGGCTTAATTATGAATATCTCACCAAATAAATTAAAACACATTAGACAATGATTACAGTTATTTTACCGAGCAGATATTTAATAGGAAATTAATCCATGACCAGGCTAGCTAAACGGTATCCGCTTTTTACACTAATCTACACACGCCACTAAGCTATATATATTCTGTGCTTGACATGACATGCTGTCCACATGCACAGCGCATGGCAGCCGTACAGTGCTAATAAAACACTTTATTAATGAAGGAGACAGTTTTATCTATTCTTGCATAGCGGCTGCCACGATTTTAAGTTCAGAAATATTTATGTTACGTGAAACGCATTAACCAGATCAGCAATTACCAAGAAATTATTATTTTAATTTTCCCCAACATGTTAGTTCCATTGCAGTTTCAAATATGGTATCCATCGAGGGGTTTCACTAAATTATAAAGTAGGTGGATGGATTTAGACAGTAAAATGCCAAAAATGCAACATTTTTTTTTATAGATTGAGCTTTAAAAATACGAAGTAGCAAATTCAACAAGACAAGACAAGCTAGCTGCCTTTTAATGAAACTTCTGTTGATACACGTTTTGGGAGTGTTTTTTACAGATTTTTTAAATACATATACATAGAGAAGCTTTTTACTTTGTGTATTATCTGTAATTGTACTATTTTAAAATCTGTCTCTAAAACTACCAGTTCTACAACAATATTTTGTTTCATTTTATAATTCGTGGGGTGTCAGGTCAACCTTTGTATACGTTAACAAAATCAGTAAATAAAGAACAAAAATACTCACTCTCGGCTGCAACCATAGAAACCACAATAGAAGTTGTGGTACTGGAACTCTGCACAAGTACAGTTGCCAGGACACCGATCATCAGTCCACAGACAGGGTTGGAGAGAACTTCGTTTGAGGCGAACGCCTCCCCAGCGGCTTTCCCTCCAAGAAGACGGAAAGCGCTACCAAGGAAGCTCAGAGAACAGATAAACAGGTAGAGGAGACCAATTAGACAAACTAGTTTACCAAAATAATCAACGATGACACGTTTCAATTTACCAGAACAACTGAGATCTGAAAACAAAAAACAAAAACTGAAATTAAAAACATGAAAAAAATGCTTTTGCATTTACCAATTTTAAATAAAAAATTTAAAATGCAGTCTATCAGAGTTCAAATAATAAATTCAGACAAATTATTTAATATGATACGAGTTTCAGATATATCGAACTATTGAACTTTGAAAGTTTGATGGCGAACACTTTCGTTTGACACGTACACGCACATGTGTAAGTGGGCGGGTGCACATGTGATCGACACGAACCATATCGAACGATTATCAGCTGTGTGTTCACATCTAAAAACACCGAAGTACATCACGAAACATAAATGTTCACTTCAACAAACAAAACAAAAACATTGCAAAGGGCGGTGTAACAGGACAAAAATTATCAAGATTGTCCGAGATCGTGAATGAAAAGAGATCAAAAGCGAAGGGCGTTCAATGGGGTCCACATGATTACCATATGAACAGTAATTAACATTTCCTCGTACTACTACACGTGGCGCCAAAAAATACCGGTCAAAAACACATCCGCTGGCGTGAACGGCAAGCAAACTAAAGAAAAGGCAGAATTTACTCATTTCCTAATTACTGTGATTAATTGTAACATAAATCAGCAATAAATTTAAGACGTGTTATTGGAATGAAGCCGGTGAACTGACCGCTCGGCTCAGCTGGATTCGTACGTTTGACAATAAACATTGCATAAATTTCCACGATCACAGAAATCGCAAGTGTTTATTTGACTTGCTTGAAAACGATCATTTGAAGAAAAATACAATCGTTGAGAAAATCTCTCACCTGCCCACTTTGTCGAATTGTCCTGCAACTCTGGCAAGGCCCAATGATCGACTTCTTTCACTTTGTCTACGTTGGCGAGATCGCCGGGTTCGATCGGGATTTTCGATTCAACCGGGAAAGGGCTGATGAATAACGGCACACCGTTGGCTTCGTCCAAGTTAAATTGAAGCATCGCAGCAGCAGATGCAGCTGCACACTCGTATGGAGGTTCCTTAAGTACATTCTGTTAATGAAAAAAAAAAAACAGTCAGAGTTTTGAAAAAAAAAAACACAATCCATTGCCGCGCGAAATGTCATGAAGATGGCAGGATATGAACGAAAAAATATATTCAGTTGTGCCTGAAAAAGAAGACAAATTGCAAAAAAAAACATTTCACGACAAAATGAGCATCATACCTGAGGGTGTTCAATTGTGTCATATTCCGGTGGAGGAGTTTCGGGAAGTTTTCCTTCACTATGTTGCTGACAATCGTGATCAGGATTGGGAGCCATGTTTGACTGAAGATTTGTCATTGAAAGTTAGGTATTTAGCGTATCCCAAAATCGGCACACTTCAAAATTTGCATAAATTAATACGCAGCACGCGTGTTTTATTATATCAGAAAAAACGTCGACAATCTAGCACAAAAAAATAATCAAATTGCTCAGCCAACATTTTTAGTAATTTTCCATTGGTAACAAGTTACAGAATTAATGAAATATACGCAATAAATGTAGTTAGCCTTGGGACTTTTTTCAGTCCGCTACATGATTTTATCGCGTGATGGGTGATGTCAGCAAGCGGGAAATTCGAGTTTGCTCTAGTTTGATTCTGATTGGCTTCAAATTTAAATATTCATGAGCGTGTACAATAATTACGAACCTATTCAGTGAGCATGGCGTCCACATGCACAGTCCATGGAACGCTAGAGATGTATCCCATGTACAACCGTGAGTCGGCCAGCATTTCCAGCTCAATCCAGTTTATGTGACCTGTTCTTTTACTATTGACTTTCAAAACGCGGTCGACAGAACTTTTGACGTTGCTTTATGGTAGGCGCAAGGTGTATACAACAAATAAAAACAATTCGCGAAAACGTAACATTTCAGTCGGTAACGAAAACTGGGCCACTAATTAAAAAAATAAAACAGTAAATGAAATGTCGAGTCCCGTAATTTTTAGTAACATTAAAGCCATTAATATAGATGTCATAGGTTTTTTTAAAGTTCGCTTCACTTATATAAAGCAACAAATCGACGTAAAAATAGATGCAATTTAATGTAAAACAAAATATTTTTTTTTTATTTTTTAATGTGATTTTTAATAACTCACGTGCGATGTTTTGACACATACGACTAAAACTATCAGCACAAATTAATTTGCTTTTGTATTATATATCAAATATCGAATTAATATTTTACGAATAATTTACCAATTTCAGATTCTTCGACGAAAATCAGTTCCTGTAAACCATTAAATTATCGTTCATAGATCCCGCCGCTGGTTCAGGGAGTTAAAAAGTATACTCCAAATTACGGGACATCCACGTGGCGTGAAAAGCGTTGCAAATGGAACGAAATTTACCTGGATTACTCCCCTTATAATCACACACGTGCCGAAAATATTTAAATATCGGGCCACTGTTTAAGAACTTAATCTCTCCAAAATTGTAAAAATAAAATTAAGATTATGAAAGAAATAACATTGTTATCCTCTAATAGTAATTTCTGTTGACATGGTAACTAACAAGAACGTAACTCGTATTGATGGAATATCGAAATACTTTTTTTCAAGCTTTAAAAAGGTAACTATTTTTAGTAATCTATAATAAGATATTTTGTTTTAAGTTGAAAGCTTTGTCTAGCCAAATAGGTATGATGGATATACTCATTTTGACATTGATATTATGTGCGTGAACTATTTAACCCCATTTCAAGTTCAAGGCACAGTGACGTCAGAAAGGCTTGCACCTAACGCCCTCACATGATCCCCTACAGTTGCAGTTGACAACTTGGAGAAGAAAAAAAACGCGCGACTAGTGATGTTTACTGTGAAACGCGACACTTCGTCAATTTCAACAATTTCAGCGATGCGCAGCCAATCTTAACGAGATTTATAATTAGACGGTCGTCTTAACAGTCATTTCGCGCCAGTAAGTTTTGGTCATGTGACTGTGGTGGACAGACGTGATCGCCGACTTTAAAAACAAGCCATCTAGATCAGCATCGAATTTCTACAATATGATGTAATATGCGATGTGTTTATATTTTATTATTATTTCATTTTTACCAATTTTTTTAATATATTGTAAATATTTAATTTACCACATATTTAAAAAAAAATAACTTAAACTATGGTCTTATTTTAATCTGCCAGTGATTGCGAAAATTCCAATAAATATGCTTAATCGAAATTGTTTCAGCGTCATTTCTGAAATACTCATTTTTTGTTTAAAAAATCAAGACAAGATACACCAGTGCGTACGTGAGAGAAATTGGTTTCCATGGCGACTGTTGACCCCGATGGCGAATCAGGCATTCCCCCTCACGTGGCAACTTGATATCAGGCGCCAGCCACGAATCACTAGTCGTCGTCAATAGCGAAAATATGTGTACACTCTAATATACACGTATATCGGAAATTTAAGTAAATCGACGATCATTTCATTTCATGTGCGTCATACTCGGGTTCAATTGCATGACACAATGACAATTTGTTTAATTTTAACTTAAAATATTCCTGCGACAATTTTAAAGCGCGGTGGTCGTCGTGCAGCCTGGGCGCGTGTTCGAATTTCATGTAAATAAACAATGTATTTTACACGCGTTGTATACGTCGCTATGAGTCCCATATCGAACAGGACGCGGCACGACGACTACCGCTCTTTAACTCAAAATAAAATAAATTGCCATTGTGTCATGCAATTACAATGAAACGCGACATTGCAGAGACAACCGATAGATTTGTTAAAAAATCGGGTAAATGTTTAATTGCCGGAGACATTTGTACGTTTTTTAAGCAATTTACGTGGCATTTATATGTGTCCCACGTGCAAGAGATTTTTAAAGAGAATAATATAATAAAATTGTTGACAAACCTCAGGCTGGGCGACTTTCTCTGCCGGTAATATTAAGTTCATCACAAATCCAAAACCAAGTGTTTTAAAACAAATTAGTATTATTTTCCTCTCCTAATCGATATTTTATAATTTTCTGAAATAGTGACGTGATAATTCTAATTTTAGAATGGATACAACGTTATGTCCACATGATCGGGACATGTTTGTGAATGACCCCATTTCAAGTTCACCCCAGCGGCACAGTGACGTCAAACTGAAAACACTGCAACAAGACGAAATGCACATACCACCAGTAGCCTGGATTCCCGCCATACTGAGTGCACTCAAGTATTATTATTCCAGTGATCATAGACCTCGTCCAGTAGTTCAGAATCTATTTACATAGTCGAACACGCACTACAAGTGACGTTGAAACTAACAACGCTGTCATTTTGTCAATTTCAACAATTTGGAATTCCAGCGATGTGCAATCAATATGATCAACACCAACGATTTATTATAAATAATCTTTTTATATGCCGCGTTCAAGTTAGTCATACCTCTATTATTATGGTTTCGTGCTATCGGGTTACTGAGAATGAAAAACAAATTCTGGCTACCTAAGAGATTTCTATCGAGATACTAGAGTCCGAAATGTCACGGAAAATGGTGAAAAATTGCATTTTTACACTGGTTTTCTATGGTAAAATTATTTCTTCATATCTTAAGATTTTATCTCGGTGTTGTGGGATTAACAACTATATATTATTACTGATGCAACTCCTAATATTGTTAAAACGGTTTTTTAAATGACATATAATTTAGCGAGTTTCCTGTATGATGATATTTTGTTCATTATAAGCGATGAAAAGCGTTCCCCCATAATGCATTGAATATATGCGCAGTAACATGCTCAGTAGAGCAAAAATTGAATTCGACTCCAACAGTCTTACGTGTTATACTTTCAGAACGCGTACTAAATTAGCATCGAAAATCTCATCTCTGCGTTTGATCGGAAATTTGTTAACAATTAATTTTGTTTGGAAATGCATGCCAAGAAGATGAGATACACTACGTGTGTACCAGAAATCTGGTTGCCGTGGCGACTGTTAGCAACGTGGCGATCGATTCAGACCCGTTCCGCGCGTTGCATCTTAATGTAATCCACGAGTTACTCGTTGTACGCCGGGATGATAAAACGAACACACGGAATTATGCGTGTATTGAATTCTAAAATACACCAGAGATTTGAGAGAACCGACAGTCGCTACAGATCACCTGAGTCACATTATCCATGCACTGCCGCAGTATTTAAAGTTGAAAAACTGTATTTTAAGAGAGGTTATTTCGGCACAGACGACATGACGTAACTAATAAACGTGGGCGAATTGAAATCAATTGTTTGTTCGGTAGAGTAAGGACATCTGAAATGCGTACAGTGTGTGTTTTCAGCCATACTTCACCTTGAAAGGTGGCGGGAATTTGCGGGATTGGTTAGTTACTATCCTCGGGGGCGGACATCCGGGCATTTTCTACCGCCTGGCAACCCTCTTGGTGAAAACAAAGACCCAAAACTCCCAGAAAACGGTACTATGCGATGGTTGTTGAGAGTCCCCTGAACAGTGTAACAAGATTAGCCCTACGTGTGTAACATATATGAATTTGGTTGTTCAGGATTACTTCAAAGTTGAGTTTGTGTTGTTTTTTCGAGTTTTCACCGGCGTTCCTCAGCAGCGCGCACAAAGCCCATAGAAATACGTGGTACAGTGGTGCGCGTCTTAGCAACGTAGAACGTCCGTGACGTAGCTCCGCCCCCGAGGATACGTCCTTGATCGTGATTGGGCCAAATTAACGGAATCACATTGGATAGCGATAACACTGGCTGGTTCTGAGTTGTAACAAAGCTTGAGTGAATAAAATTCAATTATAGGCTATCAATAATTTTCACGACGTATTTTTTTTTTCATTAACATATTCAAGCCACAGTTTTGACTTATATTTAGAATGAACACCATCGTGGATCGCGACATTGTAGCGACAACTCACTATTCAATGCAAACACGAATATTTAATTGACAGCGATATTTGTATTTTTCAAACAATCATGATTACGTTCCATTTTTATAAGTGTGTCACATGCAAGAGAGGGGATATTTTTTAAAGATAATATAATGATAAATCTGTCGACGAACCTGTGTATCGTCTTCTACCGATGATACCAACTCGGAGGTCATCTCAAATCGAAACCAAGTTCCGGTTTTAAAAAAATCGTCTCTCAGATAAATCTCTGATATGATATTAGAATTATTATTATTTTCCCTCTCCAACTCGATATTATGCTTTCGTTGATAGTGTGATCGGCGCCACAGTGTGACGTCATCGATCACATTACAGAATAGATACGCCGTCAGTGGTGTGGATGTCCACATGGTCGGGACATGCATGTCATACCT